TTATTTAAATATTTATTTGTGGATTGCTCTATTTTCATAGCATATAATCTTAATGCGAACTAACATACAACTGTATCTTAACTATTTCAATCTAGAATTTTGAAAAGATCTGGCAAATAGTTAACACTAGGTAGCTTAACAGTCACTATAACCTAATTCTAACCATCAAATTATTTTTCAAAATACAAGAATATGAAATCTGCAACAATTTTTGGCAATGTGTTTCTTTTTTTTTTTTATCTCTATATACATCTTACTGCAATGATAAAAGTGATTGAATGAGAGGTCTTGGCTCCTGACATGACATCATGACAGATATCTTGAAATATACCCATATTTGAAGGTTCTATATACACTCGTGGACAAAACTTAAGAAGGTGGAAATTCTTTAAAGTCGCCGTCGTCTATTTTTTTTAAGGCGACAGAGGCAATTTTATTCACAAAGGAAATTCACATTTTATTCACAGGATATACCTTCCTTAATATTTTGTCTATAAGTGTATACACACTTGGTTCTCTTGTGTGTCTTCAATAAATGTCACTGTAATATTTTTCAGAGTTATTGTCTGAATTCCGATATAAATGCTAAAAGGTATACCTTCCTTAAGTTTTGTCTATGAGTGTATACACACTTGGTTCTCTTGTGTGTCTTCAATAAATGTCACTGTAATATCTTTCAGAGTTATTGTCTGAATCCCGATATACATGCTAAAAGGTACAACTTCCTTAAGTTTTGTCCATGAGTGTATATTTAAGAGTTATTGTCTGAATCCTGATATAAATGCTAAATAGTACAACTTCCACAAGTTTTGTCCATGAGTGTATATTTCAGAGTTATTGTCTGAATCCCGATATAAATGCTAAAAGGTACAACTTCCTTAAGTTTTGTCTATGGGTGTATCTTTCAGAGTTATTTTCTGAATCCCGATATAAATGCTAAAAGATACAACTTCCACAAGTTTGTCTATGAGTGTATGTGAATTTCATGGTGAAGCTATGTAGTCAACGATGGGCAGACTGAATTTAGGCTAACTCCAATGGTAACATTTAAATTAGACCTCTCGTGTAGAGAAAAGACAATGGCCATATTTAATTAAAAGAACTCAATGACCTGAGCTATTTTAAATCTCTTTGATAATAATCTTAGTCCTTGGTCAATAAGCATTAATCAACAGCTTGACAAACTGGAAGTACACACACAATCATATATTCCACACACACGTTACGACTTTCTGCAGTTTTTCATCCAAATATCTTCCAATTGATCAAATTTCTTCAATGTTTTATTTGTCATTGGAATTAGACTAATGTATGAATTCTTCTTTTTAACTTTCTAACTGTAAAATACCAATGTATTATTAGAAAATGTGATTACATGCAATGTATCTTTACTAGAGAAGACGGTTAATTTCGATTTCTTTCAAAATGTTTCTTAATTTAAGAACGAAAAATCGTATGACATTTGACAATAACTTGGTAGAATGGAGCGTTTATTGGATGTATCGAAATAAATTGGTCAAATTCTGTAAAACAATTTAATAAGCAGCTAAAAATAATATTTAACATATATTATCATAGTTTCAATGTACACTCATGGGTCAAACTTAAGGAAGTAGAAAGTCTTTAATGTCACAGGTCATCTGTTTTTGTTTTTATTAAGGAGACAAGGCATTTTTTTTCACAATTGTTTATCTCGTGTGTCTTCAATAAAGATCACTGTTTATCAGAGTTATTGTCTGAATCCCGATTTACATGATAAAAGGTACAGCCTATTTAAGTTTTGTCAAATAATCTATTTTGGTTACCTGTCGTGTCTTCAATAAAAGTCACTGTGTATCAAATATCCTTCAGAGTTATTGTTTGATTCCCGATATACATGCTTAAAGGTACAACTTCCTTAAGTTTTGTCCCTGAGTGTATGTCTCGCTATGAAAAAGAGAGAGTTAACAATATTCTTTTTTCAAATTTTGAGACTATTTTATTTCCAAATAAGCATTTTAGACTCTGTAGGAAATAGATCTGTATTTCCTGTATAATATCAAGTTCTTTACGAATTGATTCCCATACATAGAAGAAGATGGGAGAAGTTAGATCCTTTCTATAGCAGACAGAATGTCTTCAGCCTCTGATCCTTTCAGTTTATACAAAAGTTCTCAGGTGATTTTAAACTTGATTGCGATGGAACTAACCATTTTTAATCAATTTTATTGATCACTGTGATCTCAAATCTGCCATCTAGGAGTTATTAATCAATTAACCAACTGATAATTGTTTGGCAATATAGTACAACAGGTTGAGTGGGAATAGAAAACACTAGTTTTACCATCTTTTAAATAAAGTGTGAAATTAGGGAAGTATGTCTTGAGCCGAATCTTGTTTTCATCCTGTTTTGTTTTCAATAAGCATGTTGGCAACAATGGCAAATTTGTCAGATCTGACATCATTATTTATTGGCTGATCTGGCCGACAATGGTCCCATTGTGGACCGTCGTCCTAATTAGATGGACCGAGTCCTGGCTTTTTAATCCGCAGAATTGAAATAGTCCGTTGGAACGATAGATCTATCCTTTATCTCTTACCCTACCCTCACTTCTTCCTGGAGATGTGGAATCCAAGAAGACCTTCTCATCGTCTGGAGGAAGACTCTATCAGGTGGTGGAGCCTTCCTAGCTCATAAATCATTGAGATTCCCATTACTTTTCCATTTAAAATGTATAATTGACTAGAGATCAATAAGAGTGTTTAGTTGTCAAATGTCTTTACCATCTTCTCACTTCTTCCTGGTCCTGGAGATGCGAAGGATCCAAGAAGACCCCTCCCGGTCTAGAGGAGGACCTTATCAAGATGGTAGAGCCTTTCTAGCTAATAAATCATTGTAAATTCTCATTACCTTTCATTTTTCTATTTAAATGTATTTGAATAGGACTTTTTCAATTGTAAATTGTCGTTCCCATCTTCTCACTTTTTCCTGGTCCTGGAGATGTGGAGTCCAAGAAGACCCTCTCCTTGTCTGAAGGAGGACCCTGTAAATGTTATCAGGGATTCAAATAAGAAATTCATTCACCGTTGGTTAAAAGAAACGTTTATTGATTATTTTGAATACATTCAAATTATCTTATTCTCTTTTGGCCAGGCAAAACTATAGCAAGCTAGACATATATAGTATTATTCCTATTCAAAACATTTACTCATTTTTCAATTTACATTTCATAGAGTAATTTAGTTTTTTTATTTATTTAAGGAAAAATTAATTTATACACCATAATTATATTATAACAATTATATTTTTTCAGCTAATACAACCTTATCAAGGTAGTGAAGCCTCCCTAGTTTATAAATCATTGTAAATTCTCATCACTTTTCATTTAAAATTTATTATTGACTAGAGGACAATAAGAGTGCTTCAATTGTCAATTTTCGTTAGCATATTCTCTCAATTTTGTATGGATACAACAAGCTTTGGTTGCTCTGGCAATCTTAGTTTCTCCGTAGATATACACAGATAGCAGAGATTGGGAGAATAGCATCGTGAGTAAACAATAATCATCTATGTGAAAAAATAGTACAAATGTGATATCGTACTGGGATAAGGTTCATGAATTAAGAAAAAGGTATATCCTTATCGGCGCAAGCCATCAGCAACTTTCAGTTGCACGATAAGGAGATGCCTTTTTCTTAATAATCATCTATGTTAAAACTTTTTTTTAATTTTAGAAATTTATATTCGATACAATATATATATATATATATATATATATATATATATATATATATATATATATATATATATATATATATATATATATATATATGTGTGTCTGTGTCCATCTATCCAAACACATAGACACGGGACACGAGAGACTTACCAGAAGAGTAGCTACAGTGATGTTAGACAGAGTCACAACAGCAACCGGCATCAAGACTTCTAACACTCCTCTTTGTTTTAAATTGTCATCTTTAAACCATATTACATAATAACTCGAATATTAATCAACGGATATTTACATTCTTTTACATCCCAGGGCTAATATCAACAAATATTTACAATCATTTGCCCCAGGAAACAGGACCACAGCAGTCGGCGGCTCCTACACTAGTTCCAGACAAGAAATAGGCGAAAACGCGGAGGTTGTAGGTGTTTTAAGGCCTATATACGCGGCAATATATATATAAATATACTAGACAGGTGACCCGGGCTTCGCCCCGGGATTGACCCGTGTGCATATCTACCCGACTGATATATATTTAGATGAGTTTTTTTTTTTATAATTGTTTGTTATTAGCATTATCTATTTGTTTGCATCAGCATAATTTAATCTAATCTTTGATAGAGGGCGCTGTTCGTGAGCTAAGTAGAATAATTTAAATATATAGTTTTAATAATTGATTTATATATATTTTTAAAATAGCCTATCGTCTTCCCCGTATTTTTTTACCTATGTTTGGAAATTTTTGTTTGAATTAGTGAACTACTGCGAATTTGTATACCGGACATACAAACAAACAAACAAACATACAAACATTGATTTTTATATATATATAGATATAACATAAATATGCGAGAGGTTGAAATTCGTGTACCTAAAGAGAGGTATATTTCATTTCAATTATGCATCAAAGCGATGCACTGTTTACCACCTTAGTGAAACAGTTTACCACTTTACCCTTTCTTTATCTCAAACGAGTGAAGGTTTTTACTAAATTGATAAACAGTTCATCGTCCTGAATCAAATTTAAGGGAAGAAATACCTCTTCAGGGGTACATTAATATCATTCTTACGCATACTTATATTATATATGTGTGTCTGTGTGTTTGTAATGTTGATTTTAATACAATATAATGCGGCTTATGATTGTTGAACGACATTTGAAAATTATCCCGCATGTGTTTCTTTCAAACGAAAATACGAAACCCATTCTAAGGAGAAATAACGATTATTTCTAACCTTACAAATGATGTATGAAAGGATGAATTGTGAAGAGTAATGATAAACGGAAAAATAAAGTATCCAGGGATGGGAATCGAACCCACAGTGTTCCGCTTACCGAGTAGATGCCATGTCCCCTAGGCTACTGTCCACTAGGTTCGATTCCCATCCCTGGATACTTTATTTTTCCGATTACTTTATATTTTAATGGGGGTGGGATTATCTTTGTTGAATATGATCAATAGATCAATTCTTCTGTTTATGCTGTTATTAACCTGAAAATAGAGGTTGACTGGCCGGCTTTCATATTTCTGTGAAAAATGGACACTTCGGCTAGTTAGAATTTTTTATTTTCTCAACGTTGCGACAAAATTATTTTGTCTTCGTCAGGAGAAATAAAAATAAATAAAAATTATTTATTTCTCCTGACGAAGACAAGATATTTTTGTCGAAACGTTGAGAAAATAAAAAACTATAGCTAGCTGAAGTGTCTATTTTTAACAGAAATATTCTGTTTTTGTCTATGGAGATTGTAGATTCTAGAATGAGTCTATTGTACATTGGAGAATATGTTATGTGTTGTATCGCTAGATAGAGAGGTAGCCAGGTGTTGACAATATTAGGTGTTGGTTCTATTAGGTCACTACGAACTTAGGAAATATTAGAAATACCCTACAATATCCTACTGACTGGCTGCCTCTATATATCTACATATTCCTACAGCAATAATTGAGTATGCAAAGAGGACATTTGCATTTCTACAAATATTCAAGCATGCAAATACACTACAGTATGAAATGAAAGGATTTAAAAGCACGATTTTTTCTTTTACACATAATACAAACTTCTACTGCCCTTACTGCATTGAAAATATATATTGGGAGGGCTTGGCTCATCAGTGGTGAACCCTCCCTGCAGTTTCGCCAATTTAATCCACCAGACCGCTTCTCAGAGCTCTAATACTGTATTGGACGATTCTACTTATATACGCAGCACTAAAGGATGGAATATCAGAAATGGTTTTCAAGAAAACTATGGACATAAGCTTATAGGACAGTAGAATTACATTCAAATCGTATGGAAATGGAACATCTTTTAGGATTCCATCTTGGTTTCCTAAACATTCAAAAAAAAACATCTAAAACATTTGAGTTCCATGAACTTCCATCACATAATTCAACGAGGCTATCAATGGCTTATGAAACATACTTGCACCGAGAACATGTTTGATATCATTCAAAGACTGCTTATTCAAATCCATTTCCAAGAAGTTTTTTGAAACCAGTCAAGAATTTACTTTATATAATTGAACGAGCGAGGCCAAAACATCCAGAAATTTCTATAAAAGTGGTTTTCCTTAATTATATAAAAGATAATTGGAAAGAAAATAGAGGAAATACCCTTATTTCATATATGACACTATTAAATTCCAGTTTCTTTTTTTCTTTTATACCAATATTTTCTATATAAATAAGGTTTTTTTTTTATAAATTCATCTCCTTATCGTGTAACTGAAATTTGCTGATGGCTTGCGCCATCTATCCGAATAAATATCAACTATTCGTTGGTTTTTAATTATTTCAGAATCGGTAAAAAGTTTATTTCCATAGATGATGAAAATAATCAGTAACTCCCAGTTGTACAATAAGGAGATGCCTTTTTTTTTAATTTATTCACCTGATCCTATTAAAATTTCACATTTGTGCTATTATTTTTAATAATGTTTTTTTATTACAATATTTATTCAGAGATGTTTCTAAATATTTTAGAATAGACACTATAGTAATGTGTTATATTGGAAAAGAAAACATTAAGACACGAAGGTTTATTTTGCATATAAAACAAACGTCTACTATCCTTACTGCGATGAAAACTTGGTAGAACTTGGCTTATCAATGGTTAAACCCTTCCAGCAGTTTCGCCAATTTAATCTACCAGACCGTCTCTTTAGAGCTCTACTACCGTATTGGATCATTCTGCTTATATATGCTATACTGAAGAGTGGAATCTTAGAAATGGTTTTCAGGCAAACTATGGACATAAGCTTTTAGGACAGAAGAATTATCTATAATGCTTTATATTAATACCAATTTAATCTACCAGACCCCTTCTTAGAGATCTAATACTGTATTGAACGATTCTGCTTATATATGCTACAATGAAAAGTTGGAATCTTAGAAATGGTATTTGAACAAACTATGTATATAAGCTTTTAAGAGACAGTAGATTTGCATATAATGCCTTATATCTTATATTTTATTAATGTGCTCTATGTAAATTCAGTTAAACCTGTCGCCCCCTCTTGGGACTCACCAAAATAAGGTTCTATAGAGAGGGGGGTGCTATAGACAGGTCACTTTTAATGTAAATCGCATCGTACTACGTATTTAAAATCGGGCGCTATAGAGAGGGAGGGGCTATTTAGAAGGGGCGCTATAGACAGGTTTAAATGTATATAAAAGATTATTGAGATATATAAAGTTATGTATATAATAGAAGGTTGTTCCAAAATTTCGTGTTTTCTTAAAACGTTGTTTTTCTTATTAATTGGCGAATCATATTACGGCGAATACATAACAATACAATTACTCTATACATAATACAAAGACATTATACATAACAGCGAATAATATTATTACGGCGAATACATAATAATAATACAATTACTCTATACATAATACAAAGACATTATACATAACGGCGAATAATATTATTACGGCGAATACATAATAATACAATTAATTTATACATAATACAAAGACATTATACATAACGGCGAATATATATATAATATTGGTATTCCAATTTTTCTTATAAGTGTTTGCGAACTTCTGGGATAACCTTATAGTAAATATGCAAAACTAATATTCTTTACTTTCAAATGGTTAAGCCAAGAAACAAGATTGACAGCTCAATAACAAAACTATTCGTGAAAAAGTCCAAATGTTTCTGACAACTTGGATGATGCTCGTCTGTCAAGAAATACGTTAGAAGAAAGAACCGTCAATGTCGGAGTAAAATTTCAATATTAAATTTGCATATTTATTCCAAATTTTCGATATTTTGTATAAATGTAGAATTTGAACGAATATATATATATTTTTCTAATATTTCTTGTATTAAATTTGGGATTACCTAATTGGATTTGAGAGTTATTTTCACGAAGAAGCAAACTTTTAGCAATATAAATTGAACCTAAAAATTTAGAAGAAGATTGAAGAGAGAATTTAGGATATTCTATAATAAATTTATATCATATATATCTTGCTGAAATGTCCACTCTTCTTCACCGCTAGACAACAGACAATAAACAATGTTGTAGATCTATATCAATTTGTAAATACCAGAGAGAATTATCATAGGTTTAACTATTTTTGTAGATATATTTGTGATTATCTTTCAAACCTGAAAGGTTCAGGTTCCTAATATATATTATTGTTTCTCTTTTTCTTTTCGATTACTTTTTCTTGTATAATATGTTTATAACTTTTTCTGTTTAAAAAAATGTAATTCGACATAATTATCCCTAGGCGGGATATCGCTTTTTGTGTGTTGAAATATATAGCGATTGCTCGAAGCATATTATATATTCATAATTGTATGTAATTCTACTGTCCTCAAAGCTTATGTCCATAGTTCTTCTAAAATACCCATTCCAAGAGTCCAACATCAGTATCACAATAAACGGAAGTTCCAAAAATGCAATATAACAGCGGTATGATAGATTAAACTGGCGAAACCGCTGGAAGGGTTCACCACTGATGAGCCAGGGGCCTTCCCATTAATTTTTCACTGCAGTAATTACAGTAGAAATTGTTTAATTTTAAAAATATTCTTACGCGTTTAAAATAGTTTCGAATTTTGATAAATAAATAAATATTATATATATTAAAGATATGTTTTTTGATATATGAGTATGCGAAGAGATACAAAATCTATAAAAATGCCATCTATTGTGTCAAATACATTTATTCTCTTTCTTATTGTATCTAGTAATATTGTACTATAATAAGTTATATTTATTTTTATAACACCCACACGTTGTAAAGGTTTTTTTTGCTTATCCCTAGTACACGTGGTACAGACCACGATAATCATGGTGATTAGAATTTATCGACTACTTTTACTGTAAATGCACCACATGTCTACACATGTGAAAAGCAGTTCTACTTTGCACTTACAAATGTGATATAGCCCCGTTTGGTTACTTGCACTCGCTGGGAGGGTTGGACTTTTGCAAGAATCGGGGGCCATTGGAGCATTTTTTTTAATCAGAAAAAAGTTCCCAATGCGGGATTCGAACCCGGGTCGTAGCGGTCGAAAACCAACGGTTTAGACCATCCTTCCACCGTCCCCCTTTAATTAAAGGTTATATAGGGGACTATTTTTATATGCAATGCATATCTAATTACGTATTAAAACTCACATTCCCCGTATGACATTTGAAGTCACATAAGTAATTCTTTTTTATTTTTTTAAATAGATAAACATGATTATAAATAGCTGATTGTTGAGAATTATAACCAAAATATATATCTATGTGCATCCAAATTTTATTTGTATAAATACGTTTTTATTTTTTATCTTCTATTAGAGTGTATGTAAGTATCTTTTGTGTATATGTAATATTAAATGAAGGGGCTGTATTGCACTTTAACTTATTGGGAGGTCCTGAAGTCAATTTCAGGGAAGCTACACACATGGACAAGGAAGTTTTATATTTTGATGTCGGTATTCGTCTAACTTTTTTTTTCAGGGAGGCGGAGGCAAATATGTTTACACTTGGTTATCTCGTGTGTCTTCAATAAAGGTCACTGTAGTTTCTTTCAGGGTTATACATGCTATACACGATATACATGCTAGAAGGTAAAACCTTTTGAAGTTTTGTCCATGAGTGTACTCACTGAAACCTTGGTTATATCTTGTGTCTTCGAAGAAGGTCACTGTGTATCAAATATCTTTCAGAGTTATTGCATGAATCTCGATATTTTCATGCTAAAAGGCACAAATTTCTTAAGTTTTGTACATGAGTGTATACACACTTGGTTATTTCGTGTTTCTTCAATAAAGGTCACTGTAATATCTTTCAGAATTATTGTCTCAATCCCGATATACATGCTAAAGGTCACAACTTCCTTTTGTCCATGAGTGT